GCGCTGCCAATCCTCCTCACGGACTGTCGTCAGCTGTGCCTTTTGTGCCATATGCCATTGCCCAAAGAGAGCATCCTACGACGTGCACATTGGCCTTTGGTCTTCGACCAGAGCCTGTCGGTTGGTCGGTCGGTGTCTCGGGTATGGGTCTTTTCGAGTGGCAGACGCATCAATCCTTCGTTGCCTTACTCACCACCAGCTCACCTAGCGCGAACGGCAAGCATAGCAACCACCAACCGCGGCCTTCTCCGCCGTCATCGATCGTCAGGAACCAGCCAGTTGTCTTGTCTCCCAGTCGCAAGTTGCAACCTTCAGCGACGGAATGAAGCCTGGCCGACCTTTTCGATCAGACCTGCATCGCCAGATATCCTAGACTCCCACGCATGGGGAGGTGACCCCGGAGCATATGCCCGGAGCCACCGGCTTTTTAGTTTTGACCTCCCCTTTGTGTCCATCGTCAAGACGAATGGAGCCACCTCGACCACCTTTGCGGTTTTCTTCGACCCCGTCGCGGGAACGGGTCCTGCCCTGACCATCCACACCGGGCACTTCCTCTCGAGTCGCCCCGCAGCATCCAGATATCGTATCCGTTCATTCGCTCGCGCAAGCGGTCCCTGTCCTGCCCCCCCGTTCCCCGCCCCCCCCCCCCTTGACCCTGGTATGCGCTACTGCCCCCCATACCCCTTTCTCTCACCTTTGGACAAGCGGGGGGGCCCCTGTTTTCGGGGACTTGCAAGCAACGGCCGAGAAATAGGCAACAGAGGTGGGACTTTTAGGGTTCAAGGTCATGTTGCTAATCAACAACGGAATACATCAGGGGATTGGCAGAGAGGAGTTAATAATCCAACAATGATCGTGATGGGACCGTGGCCATCCGTCGGGGAAACCGTCTCTGCATCCAAGCGACCAGGCCAGCACAGCTGTCCTGCACCACCAATGCACTCGGACACCGTGCAGTCAAGACATTCATCCCAGCGAATGACGTTGTGCTCCACGAACAGCTGCGCAATCTCCGTTCCCGCAGCCAAAAAGTACTTTTTAAACGCTAATTCTTCAACTGTTTGGTTTGCTGCTAGAACACTTTTTCTCTGAATCGTGCGTGGCCAGCTCCCTGGCGTGTCAGCTGCGGGATTCTGTCAGTTTATTAGCCCGCGTGGTTGACTCGAACGAACTGTCCTCAGAGCGGCTTTTGCCCAACAGGGGTTGGTGTCGGCTCTCACTCATTCTCTCGCGCGCATACATACACACACGCGCACACACAAAAAGATGCGGATGCCATACTGGGATCGCAGTTCTGACAAGACCTCAAACAATGTCCCAAAGTTCCTTCCTGTGCATCTCGGGGGAGGGGGGGGAGGGTCAGTCAGTTTTGCCTTCATCAACATCCCAAAGAGAGGGGCTACCCGCCTTGTCATCGTCAGTTCAGGTTGCGCGGGATATGCATAGAGACAGGGGATGCTATTTCTGTCCTCGGACCAATTTTTCGCCCGCATGTCAATCACCCGTCATTGGGTAGCGATACTGCGGCCTGCTGTGTCGATGTACCTCATCAGGATCCCACGCCGTTCCTCGTCGAGTACCCAAGATTCGGGAAGCGAGAAAGCCTGATAGCTGGAGCCTTAGGAAACAAAACAAAGGAGAGCATCAAAAAAGTCTAGTAGCCATTTCCCCTAGGCGAATTCTTTTAGCGCCATAGCTCGAAGCCGTTCGGACACCGCCAGTCCCGTCATACTATTCCAAAACGGCTTGTGGGCAGATCCCTGTCGCCGACGCCATCGCGAGAACCAGTCTAGCTCAACGTTTGTCGATGCCACATGTTCGGTCGCAAGAGAAACCTTTCTCACCAGGTTATACCTGACGTCCAGCGGTTGTCTTCCATCGAAGCGTGCTGACAGTGTCAGCTCCACGGGCCAAGCCAGACTTTACAAAAATCCGGTCCGGGTAACGGTGACATCGTGCGCACGATCACCAGAGCAGTACCGAAGCGGAGCACTGTTTTCCACTTCGGACGAGCGTGCCACTTCCATCACCGCGTTGTAGCGCTACTGCATCCCCGCACATTGGCCAGCACTCGACAGCCCGCGGTTCTGGTTTGACCGTCCTCGGCCTTAAGATGTGCAGTATAGGGTACCTTCGGTGGGAGCCACCAAAACGCCGTGCCGCATTGATGCGACGAGGTGGTCAGCACTTGCTCCTACTGTTGGCCATGAGGATGGCGTGGGGGCAGTCACCACAATCTTGTTAGGTATATTTCAACTCACCCAAATGAAAGCAAGCACACCTGGCAAACGACAGTAAAGTTACTGGGCTGGGCCACGAGATAATTTGGCTGCATCGGCTCCTGGACGATCCTTCAACTGACTGCCACTTGATACCGCTTCTGAGCCGTCCCCTATTAACGCGTCGATTGCCGCCGACACCTATCCTGCCCTTTGGTGGATGCGTGTCGTCCGGATATGACTCTTCCGGGAGTTTACACGGGGGGTGCTGCTGATCTTGGTGGCGACTTGAAAGCCATAACTGGGGCATCGCGACCACCGCGACCCAGGCCATGGATTCATCTCCCATTGCTTGAAAAGCAACATGAGAGGAGTGGCATATTCAGTAGAGCAGAGTACGAGTCGTGAATTGCTTGCCGAAAAGGCTCAGCATCCGTTGAGTGGCGAAATGTTCTCCAGAGGAACCATCTTGACCGCCCAACCCCTGCCACCAAAGGGACCAAGTAGTTGACAGTACCTTGGGGTTCAGGTACATGGAACGCCTGCGCCATACCCATGCACAGACCGCCTCTGTGCAAGGCTCGACCCTCGATGCTCACTTCGAACCCCCGAATCTGTCACGATATTCCCCTGGCCACTAGCACGAGGCATTCAATGGCCGATCAAGATGCCCATTCTGATCTCACGTTGCAATGTTAAACCCTGCGAATGGGCCAGCGAGACATGAGAGTTTTCGCATTCCCCAAGGTTTTCAATGAGATAGAACATGCCTGGCTGCTGGCCCCGTTGTGTTCTGGCGCTCATGGCCGGGGACGCTCCACGCCAGGCTACAAGTACAATCTGAACCCAGCACGCTGGTTGGACCAAGGCGCCGGGACAGACGATGGCCGCATCACATCTCGCGACCCTGGATACCGCATAGCCAGAGTCTGGTCATGGCAGGCCGACGAGAGTCATCTACTACCGGCTTTGCGGTCCAGGCCCGTTGCTAAAATGGCGCACTCGCCAGCGTAGCAAGAGGAGAGGGAAATGGGGACAACATACTCCCATGTCTTCAAACTTGCGCACAATGGCGGGTTGTGATGTGGTTTAAGCGGCGACGCATGTCTCAGATGGCCGTCGACGGACAGCTTAGGAGCAGCCGTTCATTGGGCGGCATACGCTTGTGCGCTGGGCCAGCCCAAAGACACACCGGTGGTAAAAACAGTCGGCATCGGAGACGGGCCCAAGATGGTTCGTTCCCTCTTGTTGTCCTTTGCCAGGAGGAACCCGTTCCCTCCTCATCTCGCTTCCGTCAACCCTGCACCGATCTTGACAAGCCAGCCACGAGCTTTCGAGTGTTTGCGAGCTCAGTGGATAGCTCTGGCGCTGGCGTTGCGCTGCATCGTCGCTCGGAGGCTTCTTGCCACCCGTCAAGCTTCGAGGACCGGATACGACCGCCGCGCCCCGTTGTGCCCACATACTCAATGGACCCCGTTGCTCTTTTTCTGTATTATTCATCTCAACACAGGGGCATCCCGGGTAAGGGAGCTCCAAACGGCTGACTCGTTCAACCACGCGACATGTAGCTCGAGTTCAATCGCAAGATGCCGAACCTGGCAACCCATCCGTGGCGATCAAAGACCTTGTGCGCTGCCCCCCTTCCCCAATAAGAGACACTAGACGGAACTGACCTAGCCCTTGAAAGGAGACGGGGTTGATACATGGCTCTTTGAGCGTTTGACCGTAATTGAGATGCTAGATGTACGCGCTATCGCGCCTTGTCCAGCGGCACCCCCCTCTCGTCACTTTTATGTAACCCAGAGTAAGCCATGGTTATTTCCGCACACTCGGAACGGCGTGATCGTCTCGGGCACGACATCTGTCGGTAGTTTGCGGCGCACAATGGCAGAGTCCCGAGAAGGCCCCCCCGTGGCATCATCTGCCATGATGGCTCAACAAGCAACATGCTTTCTCCGGGCATGGGAAATTGGAATCCAAAGCAGGGCCCCGGCTGCCACGTGCGCGTGTATGGGCGGGCGGTGTGGTCAAAAAAGGAACTCGACAGGCACTCGCATAAGCTAATCACGTTGCCCCTGCATCTTGACATTTGTTTATCTGGGTGCTTGCGCTCGAGCCTGCTCTCCTCTCCTTCTTTTTTCTCAGGGATACGGCTTGCGGCGGGCTCCTCGTCCAAGAAACGATCCACTCCGGGACCCCCTGTCCACCATGTTAATCCTAACCACGATCGATTTTCGCTCTGATATCTCATCTAACTATGCAGCGTATTGAGTCAGGGATGCTCGCAGCTCGCGTCATCATAGTAGAGACCCTGGAGATCGCGCCCGAGCCACAGTACACCAACCGACCTGAGCGCTGGGGCCAGCGACCCCCGGCGCCTGTGCTTGCGCACGCGGAACGAGGGCTTACAGACACCAACAACAGCCTGTGGGAGGACACCAGCAGCAGCAGATAGGAGCCAGCAGACACCTCACCAGGCTGCAGCACGGTTGGCAATGTGGCTGCGCTTCCGTTGCCGCCATCACGGGGGGTGTTCATTTGTGTCTGTTTTGATCTTGTCTTCATGTTTCCTTACAGTAGTGGGTACGGCTCTTGCCAGGCTGCTTTCCTTTTCCGTTCCTGCATGGCAAGGCTTGATCACCATGACGCCTCGACTGACTGACTGTCTGCCCACCCCGTCCAACCTCTGCACACTGTATTGCGACAGCTCAGAACGGGGGCGTCTCTAGGGTCCTTTGCAGGGGCAATGTCCAGCCTCTGCCTGCATTACTTGTGACTGTCTTAGCCATCGAGCCAATCGCCATCAGTTGACCGTGGAAGCGAGCGGTGGTCAGGCTCTCTCCCGTGTCTAGACCTGCTGGCGTTGACTTGACGCTGCGTGACAGCCAGTGCATGCTCTCATTCTCTGCTCACTTGGGTAGCCAGCGACGTGCAGACAGCAAGCAGCCTGACGAACGAGGAGGGCTAGGCGGCGAAAGGAGAAGGAAAAGTGATCCCGGGGCAGACCAATCAGCGGCAACCGGGGACCATCCCACAGCGCAGCCCAGCTTGTCCTGTCACACAAATCGGCGACCTGAGTGACCCGACGTAAACAGTCCGAGGCCAGCTTGACGTGTCTGCATTGATGGTCGCAGTGCTTTCCATATGGGGGAGACCAAGAGAGGGGGGGTGTATATGCAGGCGCCCGGCTGCCATTGAGACAACTCAGCCAGCGCGCTCTCTGCACATCCGGGCTGAAGAAGGCCGATGTCACCACCGCCCTCGGGACCTTGCAGCTCCGGCCGCTGGAGGGGCGGATTTCTCAACGCTGAACGGTCCGGGTCCTCGCCTCGACAAAGGTCTCGCAAACTTTTATTTGCCACAGCCATGGTCTTGGTACTGGGCGCTGAGGCTGCTCACCACCACCCAATTTTTGTATTCCGGCGAGAAGCGCAACGACAGGTGAGCTCTCTTAGAGGAGGAGGGGCGGGACACGGTATCGCGGTGCGACCGTGAAGCGGTGTCCGAAGGAGTCTGGCCCTGTGGCCTGAGGAGTCTAGGCCCCGGTGCAGGATTCCGACTCCTCGTTGCTTTACTTGCTTGCCTGCTTGATACGCGCATCCGGCGGTAACGTCAATCCTGTCATGATTTACCGATTTACACCACGAATTGCCGAAGCGTGGGGCGCAATGAGGCGAGACTATACCACGCAGACACTCTTTGGTCCTCCCTTTCTTTACAGCGATGGCATGGCAAGGGTTTCGGGCATGGTATTCCTGTTCCCGAAGCCCTTGTCTAGGAGCCTTGTTTTTAGCCTTCCCTTACTGCGACCTGTACATCCGTCCGGCTGGGTGATCATGTCGCCTCTGTGTTACAGCATGGAGATGTGGGAACCGTGTTACATAGGGCAGGGGATGTTATCGTATTTCTCTTTCACGGGCAGGACTCACACTTCAAGTATTGCAAACTGGATCGGCAAGCCAGCTGACAGAGGCGAAGTAGTACAAGCTAAGTGATACGGGAACCGGGTGTGATTCTATCTATCTGGGTCCGACGCCCGTGGCTGGGTCACGGTAACCTAGCCGGCGGCGTGAGAACACTTCCAGGTTCTCAGCGACACCGGCATATGGCACAGGATCATGTACTGCCGGCCTACATCTCGGAGGTTTCGTGACCATGGAAGGGCTGACGTGCTATTACTGCACAAGTCCGTTGGATATCTCCAGAGTGACGACGCCGTCTTTGCTCTCAACCACCTTGACCGAGGACAGGTCTCTAACGATCCAGTCTGGCTCGGCGGCGGCGACCTGATCGACAGTGTGGCTCGTTACGAGACCGATGACCTTGCAGCCAGCGGCCTTGCCTGCCCTGATGCCAGCGGGCGCGTCCTCGAGCACAAGAACGCGCTTGGCATCGCCCTCGAGCCCCAGTCTCTGCCTGCCCAGGAGATAGCAGGCGGGGTCCGGCTTTCCGTTCTCGACGGACTCTGCGGTGACCATCTGGTCGGGGTGCGGCAGGGCCATGACGCCGAGCCAGCCTGTGACGAGGGGCTCGGTGCCCGAGGTGACGATGGTCCAAGGGGCGCTGTCCCTGTTCAGCTCTTCGAGGAGGGTTCTCGCGCCAGGGACTTCAATGGCCTCATGGGCGTATAGCTTGGGCAGACGGCCCTCCGCTTCACGCACGTCTGGGTCATGGCAAGGGAGGGGGAGAGAGGGAGTTTCCTCCTTTTCCTCCTCCTCCCCGGCAAGCGTCAGCTACGGCATCCTTGCTTCTGCTTGGTTCGTCTGTCACGTCGCGTTCTCTCGCGCACGCGCGCGCAGCATGGTGGAGAGATTTAAAGTGAGAGAGAGAGAGAGAGGGAGAGGGGCAGAGAGAGCGCGCGCGAGCGAGATGCCCGCGCCCACGCGTCAT